CAAATTCAAAAGCTAGCAGAAGGCAAGAAATAACTACAGTTCAGAGCAGAACTGAAGGAGACAGAGACACAAAAAACCCTTCAAAAAATCAATGAATCCAGGAGCTGGTTTTTTTAAAAGATCAACAAAATTGATAGACCACTAGCAAGACTAATAAAGAAGAAAAGAGAGAAGAATCAAACATATGCAATAAAAAATGATAAAGGGGATATCACCACCGATCCCACATAAATATAACTACCATCAGAGAATACTATAAACACCTCTATGCAAATAAACTAGAAAATCTAGAAGAAATGGATAAATTCCTGGACACATACACCCTCCCAAGACTAAACCAGGAAGAAGCTGAATCTCTGAGTAGACCAATAACAGGTTCTGAAATTGAGGCAATAATTAATAGCCTACCAACCAAAAAAGTCCAGGACCAGACAGATTCACAGCCAAATTCTACCAGAGGCACAACGAGGAGCTGGTACCATCCCTTCTGAAACTATTCCAATCAATAGAAAAAGAAGGAATCCTCCCTAACTTTTATGAGGCCAGCAACATCCTGATACCAAAGCCTGGCAGAGACTCAACAAAAAAAGGGAATTTTAGGCCAATATCCCTGATCGACATTGATGCGAAAATCTTCAATAAAATACTGGCAAACTGAATCCAGCAGCACATCAAAAAGCTTATCCACCAAGATCAAGTTGGCTTCATCCCTGGGATGCAAGGCTGGTTCAATATATGCAAATCAATAAACATAATCCATCACATAAACAGAACCAATGACAAAAACCACATGATTATCTCAATAGATACAGAAAAGGCCTTCGACAAAATTCAACAGCCTTCCATGTTAAAAACTCTCAATAAACTAGGTATTGATGGAACGTATCTCAAAATAATAAGAGATACTTATGACAGACCCACAGCCAATATCATACTGAATGGGCAAAAACTGGAAGCATTCCCTTTGATAACTGGTAGAAGACAAGGATGACTTCTCTCACCACTCCTATTCAACAAAGTATTGGAAGTTCTGGCCAGGGCAATCAGTCAAGAGAAAGAAAGAAAGGGTATTCAATTAGGAAAAGAGAAAGTCAAATTGCCTCTGTTTGCAGATGACATGATTGTATATTTAGAAAACCCCATTGTCTCAGCACAAAATCTCCTTAAGCTGATAAGCAACTTCAGCAAAGTCTCAGGATACAAAATCAATGTGCAAAAATCACAAGCATTCCTATACACCAAGAACAGACAAACAGAGAGCCAAATGAGTGAAATCCCATTCACAATTGCTTCAAAGAGAATAAAATACCTAGGAATCCAACTTACAAGGGATGCGAAGGACCTCTTCAAGGAGAACTACAAACCACTGCTCAATGAAATAAAAGAGGACACAAACAAATGGAAGAACATTCCATGCTCATGGATAGGAAGAATCAATATCGTGAAAATGGTCATACTGCCCAAGGTAATTTATAGATTCAATACTATCCCCATCAAGCTACCACTGACTTTCTCTGCAGAATTGGAAAAAACTATTTTAAAGCTCATATGGAACCAAAAAACAGCCCGCATAGCCAAGACAATCCTATGCAAAAAGAACAAAGCCGGAGGCATCACGCTACCTGACTTCAAGCTATACTCCAAGGCTACAGTAACCAAAACAGCACGGTACGTGTACCAAAACAGATATATAGACCAATGAAACAGAACAGAGCCCTCAGAAATAATACCACACATCTCCAACCATCTGATCTGTGACAAACCTGACAAAAACAAGCAATGGGGAAAGGATTCCCTATTTAATAAAGGGTACTGGGAAAACTGGCTAGCCATAAGCAGAAAGCTGAAACTGGATCCCTTCCTTACATCTTACATAAAAATTAACTCAAGATGGATTAAAGACTTAAATGTAAGACCTAAAAACCATAAAAACCCTAGAAGAAAATCTAGGCAATACCATTCAGGGCACACACATGGGCAAAGACTTCATGACTAAAACACCAAAAGCAATGGAAACAAGAGCCAAAATAGACAAATGGGATCTAATTAAACTAACGAGCTCCTGCACAGCAAAAGAAACTATCATCAGTGTGAACAGGCAACCTACAGAATGCAAGGAAATTTTTGCAATCTATACATCTGACAAACTGCTAATATCCAGAATCTACAAAGAACTTAAACAAATTTACAAGAAGAAAAAAAAAAAACCATGAAAAAGTGGGCAAAGGATATGAACAGACGCTTCACAAAAGAAGACATTTATACAGCCAACAGACACATGAAAAAATGCTCATCATCATTGGTCATCAGAGAAATGCAAATCAAAACCACAATGAGATACCATCTCATGTCAGTTAGAATGGCGATCATTAAAAAGTCAGGAAACAACAGATGCTGGAGAGGATGTGGAGAAATAGGAATGCTTTTACACTGTTGGTGGGAGTGTAAATTAGTTTAACCATTGTGGAAGACAGTGTGGCGGTTCCTCAAGGATCTAGAGCTAGAAATACCGTTTGACCCAGCAATCCCATTATTGGGTATATACCCAAAGGATTATAAATCATGCTACTATAAAGACACATGCACATGTATGTTTACTGTGGCACTATTCACAATAGCAGACTTGGAACCAACCCAAATGTCCATCAATAATAGTCTGGATAAAGAAAATGTGGCACATATACACCATGGAATACTATGCAGCCATAAAAAAAAGGATGAGTTCATGTCCTTTGCAGGGACATGGATGAAGCTGGAAACCATCATTCGCAGCAAAATTTCACAAGGACAGAAAACCAAACACCGCATGTTCTCACTCATAAGTGGGAGTTGAACAATGAGAACACATGGACACAGGGAGGGGAACATCACACACGGGGGCCTGTTGGAGGTGGGGTCTAGGGGAGGGATAGCATTAGGAGAAATACCTAATGTAAATGACGAGTTGATGGGTGCAGCAAACCACCATGGCACGTGTTTTCCCAGTACTCTAGAACTTAAAGTATAATAATAATAATAAAATAAAAGAAAAAATACAAAGAAGAAAAGGATGACTGGATGTCCAAAGCTTTGAGCAATCTTGAAATTACATCTTATTAGAAACAGTTGAAGGAAATAGAGATATTGAAAAGGAAATAATTCATTAAATGGTAACTAGGGCTATAAAAGTCCTGTTTTCTAGCATATCCATTTGTATAATTTAGACTCCAAGACAAAACCAATTTTACTACTCCAAAGAATTGTTGGATCTCCTATACTATCAGCTCGTTTCGTTCATTCTTCTGTCAATAGAGTTTTACCCTGATCTGACATCGTAGCTATATCATACTTTTAATCTATTTAATTCTTAGAAAAGCATTATTTCTGCTAAAAATAATAGCTACCTCTAGCCCTTCATTACGCAAGCTCATGCAAAAAAAATGGTAAAACTGCAGTTACGTGTACAGATAATTTTCTTATCTTATTTCCAATGACTGCAGACTGCCTCTCCCATAAAGTTTTACCCTAGTTGTTAAAAGCTCTTCAAACTGATCTTGTCGCAGCTTATTTTCACCTCTCCTTGACATCAAGGGAAAAATGAAAAATAAGAGTAAAAAGACCAAAAGGAAGTGCAGAATAGTGATTGGCCTAGATCATCTTGACCACTGGAAGGTCTGAACTATTCAAAGGTGACCACACTTAGAGCTTAGTACACAGCAAACGCATAAATGTGCGGGCTTCTAATGTTGTTTACTTTAAAATTAAGTTCCTTACACCCTGTCGCTGAAATGTCACTAGCCTGGGGCCTCCAAAGGTGAACGTACAGAAGGCTGCAGTAAGGATGGAGAGTCTTTTTTTTTTTTTTTTTTTTTGAGACGGAGTCTCACTCTGTCGCCCAGGCTGGAGTGCAGTGGCCGGATCTCAGCTCACTGCAAGCTCCGCCTCCCGGGTTCATGCCATTCTCGTGCCTCAGCCTCCCGAGTAGCTGGGACTACAGGCGCCCGCCACCGCGCCCGGCTAGTTTTTTGTATTTTTTAGTAGAGACGGGGTTTCACCGGGTTAGCCAGGATGGTCTCGATCTCCTGACCTCGTGATCCGCCCGTCTCGGCCTCCCAAAGTGCTGGGATTACAGGCTTGAGCCACCGCGCCCGGCCGGAGAGTCTTTATGTAAACGACATGACAGGACACCAAGTCATGTGTGGTTTGTGATGTCAGCAGAACCCCCTGATGGAATCCTTGAGTTTCCATCACTTGGCTAGAGAACGTCCCTATAAGAAAAGGCTGACCCTTGACATCGCCGGAAACTTTCCCCAGACTTGGCGTCCATTTGCAGGAGATGCTCCCGCTGGAGCCCCCCGCGAGCCCATGAGGTGGATGGGTCCTGGGGAGACTTCCAGAAGGGGCGGCCCCTCGGGCCCTGCGCAGAGAAGAGCAAGGCCGCAGGCACTGGGGCCACAAGGGCCGGGTTCAAAGACCGGGGTCCCAGCAGGGCCCCCACGCGCCAGCGGGTGACAGCCCCGGGGGGCGGGGGGCGGCGGCCCAGGGCTCCCGGGACCGCCTAGGCGTTGGGGTCCCGCCTGAGGACTGTCCGGCAGGCTACGAGGATGGGGAGGGACCCGTGGTTCCCGCCCAGCAGGGCGGCGGCAGCCAGGCCTGGAGCGAGGTGGCGGAGCGCAGACAGTGGCCCGGGATGCGGGCGGGGAAGGCAGCAGAGGTGGGAGAGGGCGGGGTCGGCGGGGCGGGGCGGGGTCGGCGTCTCCCCGCGGCTTTACAAAGCCCGCGCCAGCCTCGGCCGCCCGGCGGGACCCAGAGCCACCGCGGGAGCCTCCAGCGTCCCCAGGTAGCGCGGGCGTCCCGGGGCGGGGCGGGAGCGCGCCCGGGAGGAGCCGCGCCAGGGTGGGCGGGATTATGGGGGGGTCTCTCTGCCCACCCGCAGTCCCCACATCCGCAGACTCCTGAGGACGCGAGAGCTTGGAGCATCGCATCCCTCTGCACCCCTGAAAGGAGGGTGACCTGGTTACCTTTCGCTGACCTCCTGACTGCTAGCCCAGCTGCTCTGACAAAGCACAGGGCCGCAGAGGGTGCTTGCTTCCAGAATACTTTGGGTGTCTTGAGCACCCTCCTACCTAAGCGTCCCCCAGCGCGCGCACACACGCACACACACACACACACACGCACACACACAGGCGGAGGCGGGTGGCCAGAGAGATTAGAGGGATAAAGTCACTGTCAGTCAGAAAAAATAAGAATCTGGGCTGGACGTGCCACACTGGGGTCTTCTGAAAGTAGGTGCAGCATCTGCAGCTCCTCATGCCCGGCCTTAAGGTGATGCGGGATTGATTTTTCTTGGTTTGTTAGCTGTGAAATCCCCAGGCTGTAAAAAGGTTTGGGTCAAGAACTAGACTTTGATTTATTGAGGCTTGCTTTGCCCTGCTATGCCACACCTTGTGGTGTCTGGGGGTATTTTGGAGCACTCATACAAAGTTTGAATTGGTATTCAAGCGAGCTTGGTTTTTAATACTTGGGAATTAAAAAAAATGAAGATATGCATTCTCTTAGTTTAAATTGAGTTTTATTTTTCAATACACATGTATATATTTTAACAGAAGTAATCACTGGTGATGTCACTCAAAAGTAATCACTGGTGATGTCACTCAAATAGTGAGTCCACCAGGTGTGGCGTTGTTAGAATTTGAATTTGAAACTAAGTTTACCCTATAGTTTTAGAGAAATTGACTGCTTCTTTTTATGCGCTGTATTATTGGGAGGTATGTGTGCTGAGAATCCTGTCACATCATCTTGCTGTTGGTGAGAAGGTCTCCCCTGGTGTTGGCCACCTGACTTGGGACAAAACCCAAAATATATATTTTTTATCACTAGTGTTTCAGTGTGTGCAACTGTGCTTCTTGGGCCACTAACCTTAGTCTCTGGTGAGAAGAAATAGGTATCAAAAATGTGCCCTAGGCACATTTGGGAGCAAGGAGGAAGGCTGTAGATTTCTTTTTCCCCATTAAAGTTTTCATGTATTGGCAATTTAAACCCCAAAGCATTGTTTACCACCTGTCAGATGCACTCAGAAGTGTAAAGATTAACTAATAAAAGATTTGTAAAATGCTTCCTGAATCTAAAATTCTATAAATATGCTAAATAGTAATAATCCACCCATAGTTAAATTTATGTAGCTGCTTCTGCCATGCATATAAGATGATTTAGATGCATGTTTCCTGTCAATTAAACAATGAGTTTGGAGCAAAATAATGAGTTCAATTCACATCCTATGAAACTTTGAAATAAAATTTCTCCCATAAAGCAGCAACAGCAGAGAATCATAAAATAAGCTGCATTTCAAAAAGCTGTATATGAAATGGCATTTACCTTATGGTTGGGTGAAGAGGGACCCAGTGAACTTCTGAAACTAAGAAATATTCAGCCCTGGTTCATGTGTGTCTGAACCATCAACATTCCCTAACAGGGAGGGCATACAGGTTTTGTGGAACAGCCTCATAGCTTTCCAGTCTAATCCAAGAAATATGCCTCTTCGTATTTTAAGGTTGAATTCAACCTGTGGTTTTGTTCATAGACAATGAAGAAAATCTGTATAGTTACTTGGATTAATTATTGATTCTTCCAATATCATGGGCTTGGTTTTGAGGCATCCTTAACACCAGCTATCATTTTAACATCCTGCAGATAACTGGTTTGTTCCCAGTTGATTTAGTGGCATATTAACATTTTTCTCTGAGCATGTTTTGAATAACAAAGTGTGTCATTCTTCTGTTTACTGACATCCTAGAGTAAAATCTGTTTCTTCCATGCTACTTTTAAGTATAAATACAGATACAGGTGATCTTTCTTTTGTTTTAGATAGACAACTCTAGATTTATCACTAGCAGGTTATGCTGTGACCTTAATGAAGTTGAGGATGTCTTTTTTTTTTTGACACTTGTCCAATTTAGTGGACTTTTCTTTTCATTTCCTCCACTAGAATTTGGATGGGCAGTTGCTAAATAGACTCCATTCCCGTATTCCACAACCTTCCCTCTGCCGCCACTCCTCCTTGATCCGAGTAACTTAAACCTCTGCTCTACTTTGTCTTAACTTGACAACAAGTTGTTATGGGTGAAAGTGCACTAGGTGAAAAATAAAAGAGCTTGCATTTCCGGAGCAGCTGTGATATACTAGGCACTGTGCCACAATATCTCATTAAATTCTTGTAATAATCTGGTGAAGTAGATGTTGTCTGTGTTTCACAGAAAAGAAAACTGAGGCTCAAAGAAGCTCTCATGCCCAAGGATGAACAGTTTATGAATAGAAAAGCCAGGATTTGAATCAATACAGTCTGGTACTTCCTGCTGCGTTGCAATCTCTAAGAAGAGTTCACATTCTGAACTGAAGTGTGGAAGAGTTCTTCTGTTAATTAGCCATTTGACCTCAGAGAAGTCCTTTAACCCTCTGGGCCTCTGGTTTCCTTTCACTAGTTTTGGATTAAATTATCTCTCAGAGATAGAAGAGACAGTTCCAGGATTTTGGATGCCAAGCACATAAGCTATTTCTCCCACAGAATCCCAGAATATGCTCTCCCTTCCCCTTTCTCCACCCCCTTCCTTCCCATTTTTCTTCTTTTCTTCCTTTAGGTCTAAGTAAATTGCACTTCCTCCAGGAGGCTTTTCTGAACTCCCTTCTGTTCTTCTCCATCTCAGCCCTCAGTGAACCCTCATGGAGCTGATTACAAACTAAAGTCTCTTATTTTTATTTGTTTAATATGATTGTTGTTTTTATCTTCTTCCCCATCCCTCCCTACTTCCCCATCAGAATGTAGGCTGCATAGGCCAGAACTCTGTTTTCTGACTTTTTTCATTACTGTATTCCCAGGGCCTAGCACAGTGATGAATGGCACATATTTCTTAGTCTGTATGTTTGAATAAATAATTATCTCTTATAAAAGACATGTGTGAATGGCTAATATATTGTCCCTTCCTTGGGAAAGCCTAAATGAAGCATCATTGATCTTACAGTGTTAGAGAGGGTGAGCCTGAATTATGAACGGAGATCTGAGCGCCGTAATGGAGATGACAGGGCCGCCCTCAGACACACAGGACAAATGGACACACTGCACCTAGTACAACCCCATATTTTACGGCAGAGGAAACTGAAGCTCAGAATGATAATAGAAATTTAGGTCTAGACAATACTTTAGAGATCAGCTAATAGTCTAAGCCATTGTTTTATTGATGAGCAAACTGAAGCCCCCCAAAACAGATCATAAACTATAGAACCTAAGCCTTCTGACTTATAAACCAGCATTCTTTTCACTCTGAGATCAAAAATAGTGAGAACCACACAGTCAACAGGAGTAAGGAGCTTTGGACAATGATGCTTTCTTTCAAAAATTCAAAAGAGACTTATGTTGCCCAGACCAATCCTGAATAGCAGCATTAGAACATCTTAATATGTATAGTCTATTTTCAAAGTTCTTCTGGTCTCTATAAACTTCGGTGACACATTTACTATTTTAATAATCCATCAAGCAGCCTTTTAATGCCTATCATTAGTTTACCAATTCTATTTAAATGCTTAGACAGTCCAAATAGAAAATTTACAGTGCTGAGCATTTAACACTGGTGTGATAGATTAAAGATACATTTCAAACATGATTGCTAGTTTGAACCTCAAAATATTGGTGGCTTATCTTTAAGCACAAAAATGATAACTTTTCTTCTCTAACGTAGACAGCAATCCTTGCTAAAGTATTACATTTTATAAACAAACAGTTCTTAAAGTTTAGAGGGCATAAAAATCATCTGGAAGGCTTTTTAAAATCACAGATTGCTTGGAGCCATTCTGCACAGTTCTGAATTAATAGGTTTGAGATTGCCCCCACACAACTGCATTTTAACAAATACCTTTGGTGATTTCTCAATCAAACAGTCTGAAGATCTCATTTTGAGATCCAATAACAATTTTGGTATGTTTTTAATTTCCCCAGCTTCTTCCTAAGAGGATATTTTAAAAGAAGATATTTGGGGAGGAACTCAGTGTGTTTGAATCCAGCTAATAGCAGAGATTATTAAAATTGTTTACTAGGTATGATGACATTTGTTTCCTTTGTAGCAAAAGTTGTGTGTGTGTGTGTGTGTGTGTGTGTGTGTAATCATGATGTGGCTACTAGACTTGATATTGGCCTCAAATCAAGCATGTTTCTATTGGACCACAAAAATAAATTGATAAGTAGTAATAAGAGTAATAAGAGTTGAGTGTTAAGTTTCATGAGGAAATAGTGAAGTCCCTTGTTCTCTGGATGGTTACATTCTGTACAGTTGAGAGATAACATTAATATCCACGAAACATTCAGGATAAGTTTGCAAATCAAATACAGGATGCCTAGTTAAATCTGAATTTCAAATACACAACAAATCATGTTTTAATAAAATTGTGTCTCCCCTATAATATTTTTATTTGCTAAATCTGGCATTCCTGATCAGAGAACATTAGTGTTCAGTGTCATTAGTTTCTAGAAGTAAGGGTGCTGAGCGGTGGTTGTTAAGCTTAATGAAATTGATAAAAGCTCTGGACGTGCTCCTGAGAAAAATGCCCCCATGGCACATTCCAACAGGCCTCGCATTACCATCCCTTGGGTTCCAGGCTGCCGAAGCTCTCAGGGACATCAGGTCATCTATAATGGGGGACATCAGGTCATCTACAGTGGTAGACAGTGAGGCAAGCTCCTCAGGCCATTTTCTCTGGGCTGGAAAGGTCTGGAAGGTGACTGTGAAAAGTATAGTTGAACTAGGCCTTAAGGAGCAGAATTTAGCTGGATTGTGGGTGGGAAGACATCTGAAGCTTTGAGAGGAGGCAGATTCCCTCAGGCCCTGAGGGTATTTAGTGCAGAATACTGAGAAATCAGCTTGGGCAGGTTAAAAAAAAACAAAAAACCAAAAAAACAAAACTGGATTGTGGACGTTCTTAAGTTTTAAAGGGTTTCGACTGCCCATGTTGGAAAATAAAGAGTCTTCATTGATATGTCAGTGGGGAGAACATGATCGAACAAAAGGAAAGAATAAGAAAATCATAGGAAGCCCAAGCTTCCTATGTCAGGCCTAAGCCCAAGTCAGTCAGCCTGGTACAAGCTC